GAAGAAGACGAGTCTCATTAGATCTTGTTTCTTCAATTGTGGTTTTGTTTTAGTTCATATGGCTGTAGGTGTTGCTTTTAATTTGCATTATATTCTGTTGCGCTATTTTATTCCTACTGCTGGTGGTGTAATTAGAAGTAAGGTGATTAGACTGTGGCTTTGTATGAGGTTATATGAGGTTAAGGTGTTTGTTGTAATGGTGTTCATCACCATGAGAGGATATTCCGTGGTATCTTTTGTATCGGGTATTATTATCAATAAAATTTGAGGTACTCTTTTCTTCCTTCCAATGTTCGTTAACATACTTTAAGTATGTGAACGAATAAGAAGGGAGTTTTTAATGAGACCTCCAACTTCTATCAAAAAAAAAAAACATGTCTAGTTATCTCTCCTGGTGCTTTCCATGACCCATCACCCATCACGATTTTTTTTTAAATATTTTTTGTTCAAAATTTTCATTAGTGATGCCACCAGACAAGCATTGCCATCTTTCTTATCAGGAAATGCTCCTAATGAGGGTATTCATGCCAAAGATTTATGTTAACTTTTTCAAACCTTTAATTTCTGGCATGAACTATTGCAGGAAAAAACTTTGGAAATTGAATACATAAGAGCTGTTACCCCTCGAAAAGAGGAAGAGCCTTCTCCACATGATGATTGGGTCAGTGCAGTGGATGGTTCTAGTCCTAGGTAAGCCTTCCAACACTTAACCATTACCCAGGTGCTTCATTTTGCTTTCGCCGCAACATTACTGTTGATGTAGGTGTTTATCTTATTTATTAAGCAAGATTAGATCACTTTGATTTGGTTCTCTTTACACTTATTTCCTGACACTGCTTAATAAACATTGTTTCGCAGGTTTATTTTAACTGGTTGCTATGATGGCTTGGGAAGGTAAATAGCCTTTTTATTGTCTGATTCTTTCTAACTTTTAATTCATCCATTTTCTTTTTGTTGCTTTATGGATTTATTTTTCAGAGGATTTTAGTTGACAGAAATTATGTTTTTTTCCCTCAATGGAATTTCCTTAAGGGTATGGAAACGAGCGGGATGGTGTATGCATATACTAGAACACAGTGGGGCAGTTTCTTCTGTTAGTATCATCAACTCAGAACGTTAGTGCTGGTAGTGGTCATCTTTAACATTTTAGCCCTTGATATTGATTAAGCCTTTTTTATGTATTAAATACATCATACATGCTATTGCTTTATTCTGATATTAATGGACGACTCTGAGCCTACTACTATATGTGTCATCCTTTTTTATCTTTTGGTGGAAAGGGAATACATTTTTCTGTAGTGTCTATATGCCTAATCCTAAATCTATCCCTATATGCAAGGGCAGGAAGTGCTACAGTAGCCACTGCTTCAAAAGATCGAACTTTGAGGCTGTGGAAGGTAATTACACAAAATGAATTTGTATTGAAATGGAAAATTAACTACTAATTGATACATCTTTTTCCTATAAAAGTTTGATGCAGAGGACTCTAGTGACCATCCTGCAAGGATAAGAGCGTTCAAGATATTGTGTGGGCATAATGCATCTGTACACAGCATTGTAGCAAAAACTTCGGGAGATATGGTATTGGCTATTCTATAAATCGTAGTTTCTTTTTTTCTGTATTGTACAGTGATAATGTTGATTTCTAACATCAGGGTCCTTGTCTTTGTTTCTTTACTTGATATAGATTTGCTTGGGTTCTTGGGATTGCACCATCATCAATTTATGGTGTACAAATGACTCTGATATAGATGGGGATACGGTGTCAGTCAAGAAAGGAAAGTGAATAATAGAGTTGAAGAACCTCAATCTGAGGTACGCCATCCTTTTCATTTGATCCCTCTGAATTTTGATTTTCAAGTAGCTGATTTATTTACCATCATGCATGAGCTTCATTTAGTAATATCCCTGCTTTTTCAAAACTCTTTGAAAGTAAAACTAGAAGAACATGTACTTTTCTGATAGCATCAATGATAAATGTAATACCTTGTCATCTATTAATCTCTGGTCTTGTCCTTGCTTACTCTTACGATGGTAGAATTTGGATGCCTTTTGATCATTATCATTAATTTTGATGTTTCTCTGAAATTTTTATGACACCACAATATCATTCTAAAGAATTTTGTGTATTTATTTATCCGCATTGGCTTTTCTGATATAAATTTTGAAATTTCCACCTTTTCCCCTCTACATCCTTCATGTTTTTTGCAGGGAGAGGCAGTGTCTACACTTGTGGGCCATACACAGTGCGTCTCCTGTGTGGCTTGGCCTGAACACGAGACAATTTATTCATCATCATGGGATCACTCTGTTAGGAAATGGGATGTTGAAACGGGCAAAGATTTGTCTAATATAGTATGAATCCCCCCTCCTCCCTCCCCCTCTATATCTGTTTATGGTTATATTTGCATGAACTTGCATTCTAGTTATATGATGTGAATTATATTTTATGCTACTTGTATCATGTCTGCATAATTTTAATGCTATTTCTTAGGTTGTTTTTTGTTTTTTGTTCCCCAACCTGGTTCCTTTTTCGCTTTCATATTTTTTTCATTTATGGCATCCCTTTTACCCATTTAACTGTTTTTATAGTCCTTCCTCCAATGCTGCCCGCCATCCCGAGAGGTTGGCTTCATTTAACATCTATGTTCTCTTCATTCTTGTATGTCATACATGTTGGTCAAACTTTTTCATGAAATTTTGCAAACTGTAACTTTTTTTTACTTATGATTGAAATTTGGGCAATCGTTGTGTTTAGTATTTGGCTTGACATTGGTTCATACCTTAGTTACATGCTAGATGCAATTATATGTTGGTTCATTTGTTTCCCTTTTTTTTTTCTTTGGAAAGTTTTTAAGGTAGAAATCCTTTACCCCCAAAGTTTGAATGTATCATCCTCTATCATGCAGTCCTGTGGCAAAGTCCTCAACTGCATTGATATAGGAGGTGAAGGATCAGCTCTCATTGCTGGTGGTGGTTCCGATTCAATTCTTAGAATATGGGATCCTCGAAAGCCAGGTCTGTTTTTCTTAATTCCATCTATAATGTTATGCTTTTCTTTTTCCTCCCTTTCTCGCCCATTTGTTGCACATACTGACACATGAAACTGATGAAATTTCCATCTAACCTGAATTTTTTTTACTTTTAAAGGAACATCGGTACACGTGTTTCAGTTCTCTTCGCATAGTTCTTGGATTTCAGCTTGCAAGTGGCACAATTGGTCTTCTGTTCATTTACTTTCATCATCCTATGATGGGAAAGTAATGTTGTGGGATCTACGTACAGCGGTATCGTATTTATATTCTTTTTATTCTCACGATTTTAGCTAATATAATACATACCAAACCAGATGCTAACATTTGTGTATCTGGATATCATTTTGATAAATACCCTTTTCATGTGGCAGTTTCCTCTTGCTATCATTGATTCACACAAAGATAAGGTATGATCCTAATTTGTCACTGAATTCTTTTGATGTACACTACAAGAAAACATATATAAAATTCCCCATTAATGTGGCCTGGCTGCATTTTTAGGTATTATGTGCAGATTGGTGGAAGGGTGACTCTGTGGTGAGCGGTGGGGTTGATGCGCAGCTCCGTATTTCCTTGGACATCTCTATCTAGTGAGGTAAATTTAGCTATAATCTTTACATGTTTATCAACCATTTAGCTTTATCTGCTCAAATACGAGTGAGAGTGTACCTTTTTCCTTTTTTTACCAAATGTTAAAAACTGAACTGGATTTCGAACTAGACCGACCTCCGGTACCCCAGTCCAATTGGTTGAACCGGACAGTTGAAGAATACGTTTTTCATTCCCTGGAACTTTCACTAATGTGATGTCTACTTTTGTTTCATTGATCATGATAAGGTGATGTTAACTTCGCTTTTTCTTGCTATAGAAGAAAGAACACGACGAACTCGAGATCGGAGCCTGAGAAATTGGTATTAAGTTGGAGGCTTGGCCATTAAAGAATGATTGTCATTGTGTGAAACGTCAAACCAATTTTGTTCTGCGAACTTTAACATATGTAAACAAAGACATTTCCTTCAAATGTCGACGTAAAAAGGATTATGTTTTATTTGTTTACTTATCATGTATTTGCTTACGTATACTACATGCATTTTTATGTTTTATTTTTGTTAAAGACCATTGGACACGTGAGATGTCATTTGAATTTAGTTACATTATATGTTTTATTTCCTTTTTACATATTATAACTAAATTTACTTTTGCAAGTGACAAAGCAACGAGAGCAAAATCAATGTCATAAATCTCGTTCCTAACAATTTTAGTTCAGATGCATTTCAATGCCACGAAATCTAGTTTTGAGAATTTCCCCTCGCTTATTATTTTTACTTGCAAGCAGCTAATTATTGTTTACAATGTTATTGTATTTTCAGTTTTCTATCGATAACACAATACGTAGGTTGAAATTGAATATCATATATTAACAAAAAAAAATACGAGTACAGTTTCTAAATACTTGATTAATTTAAATTAATAATTTCAGTTTTATGTGTTATTTTTATTAAATTATTTTAAACTCATAATTAGTTGGCTAAATGATTTAATAATGATGTAACCTTTTTGCGGGTTGTTCACGTGAGTGTTTTATGTTTTAAAATCTTTAAATATGTTTGATTAAATTTGATGATATGATATTTTTTTTATTGATTTCATTACTTAAATAAATCATTTACAACTTATAATGTTAATTTAAAAGTATATCAAATTAATTTCGTGGGCCTTAAAGTTCAAGCTAAGTTCGGGAGTTTCCTATGAATCAAGTTAAAAATAGAAAAATGATTTTAAGTAATTATGAGTATCTTATGAAATCTAATGAAGAAAATACTCACTCAATTCAAACATTTTAACCAAGTTTTTATTCTTTTACAAAAGTTTTGCATCAAGGTAAACTCCTTTAAAGGGGGAAAATCAATCTAACACACAACTTGAGCTGTTTAGGATCATGGTGATCTAATGATTAAAGAACTGTTAAGAATTCCCCTCTTCATTAAGATTTTGTTGATTGTTTTGGTCAACAGGCTCTTGGACTTGGACGTTCACCATGAAATCATGAACCATGTTTTGGGCCGTATTATTATTATTAGCTGCCATCTGCATTTGCGCTGCTTGAGGATTGCCATAAGGCTTGTTGCCTCCTGCTTGCACTGCTGGAAAACCATGGAAAATAAACAGCGTGACAATGTTTCTTAAACAAAGCTAAACATGAAGTCAAATGTCAAAGCAACCTCATTCTGGTTCAAGGAATCCCACTTGCGTGCGTAAATGTTTGAATATTAGAAAGATTCAACTAAGTTCAGTCGAAGTTGCATTTTAAAACAAAGTTTGCTTATTATACTAACCTGCATTACCGGCTGCAATGGCTGCTGATTTTCTCTTATGATGAAGCACCGCACAAACACCAGCAATAACCCAGAAAAGTACAAAAACTGGAACCGTGGTACCAAGGATTACTGGTAGCTTGCTCTTTTTCTTGCCGCTGCTCGAGGAACCATCATAACCAGATGTATCAACACCACTCGCTGTTTTACACGATTTGCCAGAGGTACATAAATCTGGATTGTTTGTAACGCTGGTATTCAAACAATGAAAGAATTTGATAAACAAAGCAGTTTCTGGTATGAATATATTTTAAAGAAATTTAGTTTACTTACACTAATTTTAACTTTTTATTTTTTGATATGGAGGATGGAACTGGTCCACTGAAACCATTACTAGCCAAGTTCCTGAGCAAGGAAGAACATTCAGTTAAGCATCACGAAAAACTGAAAAAAAAAAAAGGGGAAAATCTGACAAAATGATCGTCAAGAAAACTCACAATTGTTTTAGATTAGGCAAGCTGCCAAGAAATTCTGGGATAGACCCGATTAGGGTGTTATTGTGTAAATCTCTACAATCAAAACAAAATTAAAGAATCTGAGATGAAACAGATTTTATTAACTTAATAATCAAACTTGGAGCTATATATATATATATATACAACTTACATTATCTCGAGGCTTGTCATTGAGCTAAAATCAGGAAGAAGGCCAGATAAACCAAAGCTACCAAGATACCTGAAAAAAATTAAACAAACCAAATGATCATTGATCATCAAAGCTTTCATGGAAAACTTAGAGAACTATTTTTAGCTTGAAGATTAATAAACTTACAATGCTGTTACTCGGGGTGTGGAACCAGATGTGCAATTGATCCAATCCCATGAGTAGGGTGCTGGAAGACAAGGGTCACCACCCCAGTCTCCCAGTACATCAAATTCCCTCTGCAGTGCGACCAATCCGTCCACTACAATATATAGTATAAAAGAGTGAACAAAAGTTTAAAATTTTAACGTATATAAGAAATATCAAGCAAATTTAATAATGCCTTGGATACCAACCATCATCACTGTTGGTTCCATCAGTTAGCTCATCGCTGACCGTAAAAACTTCCAGGGCATTGATAAGAGGAGGCAGTGTTGAATCAGATGTGGCTGCCAAAGTGAAGTTGGTGCTGGAAGAGGCAGTCTCGTTTGTCAGGACCATTTCTCCTGCTTTTGCATAAACTGGGATGAAGGGTTTTGAGCTAGACTTTCCATTTATTCGGAGCTCGAACGATCTTATCTCAGTTGAATCGAGTACTGAAACTTCAGAAAAGTACATGTTCATGTAAACGGGAACTTCAGTTGCGGGAAGATTAGTCCCTAATCTTATGGATGTGGAAGTGCTGTCAGCGGCAAATGCATTTTGAAACACGGCACTAGGAGGGCTATCGTCTATACCAACTTCAGTGAATAATTCAGCACTTGTAAGCACCGTGAAACCGTCTGCGTTGACGGCCGGAACCCATATTCTATCGTAAACATCGTCGGTAGACCTACGAGTACAAGAACATGCAGCATGAGGTTCATAAATACAGGGTTAAAAAACAACATTAATTACACAAGTGAAAGGAAAACAAAACACACCTAATGATTGCTTTGGTACCATAAGCAACCCTCCTCCTTAACATCAAAGCACGATTCAGATCTAAATCCGCATACATTTTGGAGTCCAAGTCCCGAACTTCAATGGCCGATATAAAGGGAAACATGTTAGGAGCTGTCTGAGCAACGCATACACTAATGGTATCCGTCTTTGTGACATAAACAACCTCGTAGAAAACAAGTTGGTCACTTAAAGTCTCCACCGTTGTCCAGTGGTTCCCATCAAAATGTAGATCGAAACTTGGAGGCGATGATTTCCCGTCATAATTTCCATAAAAGAAATACGCTCGGACAAGAACTTTAGATCCCTTGGCGGAATCGATGTTGTAACAGCTTTTCTTCCTGTCAGTGAACACTCTGAGAGTGGCCATCGGTTCATATATAGGTTTGCTGGATCGCAGCTGAACTGACTCACCATGTTGAATGTAGCTGTCGTCTCCAACCCACCCGATGGAGTAGTCATCGGAGCTGAAAAGTTCAGATGATCCACAATCGATGCTCACTGCAATTCACACTCACATATATATAAACATTAATTCTAACATCAAAGAAAAGAACCACGCAAAAACCAGATAATGATATGTATAGTTTATTATAATTCCTGAAAATGATAAGAAAGGAGCTGACCATCAGCATGAAGTGTGGAAAATGCAGAAGCTGCAATGATGAGAAATAAGAGATAGGTAAGCATGGCGAGTTGAGAGTCGAGACTTGGAGATGCAAAGTTAAGGGGTTAGTGGTCACCATTAAATAGAGTAGTGAACCGTTTAGTATAGGTTGACTACGACCGCGTCATTAGGTTAACACGCTCCAACGGAAAAAGAAAATAGAAAAGGGAAAACAAGGTCGTGAGAATATAATTAGACTTTAAACATAATCAACTGCTTCTGCCAGCGCATATGGTTTGATTTTGGATTATCCATCATTTTTATATTATCCGAGTAAAGTTTAGGGTTAATATACTATTTACTACTTAAAGTTTGTTTTAGGATTTAAATTTAAATTTTTAATTTTTAAACAGTCTTTAAATTTTAATCTGTTACATTTTTGTAAGTAAAATTTAAATATTAAATAATATATTTACCCTTATAGTTTGGTTGCACAAGAGCCAAGAAGAAGATGCATGCACTGTGTATTCCTTTTCTCTCCAATATAATTTGTCCATTTATAAATCTTTTAGTTTTTAAATATATATCCTCAATCTTGAGATTTGTTTTTTCTATTATTTCCACCAAATAATTTGATATATTTTTTTTAATTTGAAGGCATGATATAAATACACGAGTTTCTTATTTTATATTTTGTAACACATTATAAATTTTATCTCTTTTTTCCTTTGAAAATGTGGGAAAAAATCAATTGTATATAATATCAGTATATATCACGTCATCACATATATTAAAAACAAGTCACAAATTATTTTATGCTATTAATAAAAAAATATTAAGATTAAAATTACATACTTTGGAAAGTAAAAAATAAAAATAAATGATCAAGACTAAATAAAAAAAACACACAGTATAGGGATCTTTTATAGAATTTGACCCACTAGGTTCTATTTTTCTAAAATAGATTAAATCGTATATGTTCGAATATGGTTTATACATGATATTAACTTTTTTATGTCATCTTAAGTTTAATTTGTCCCACAATGAAAATTCAAGTTTTGTCCAGATTCATTCATATTTGTAAAAAATTATTTTATGCCCATTTTAGGCGTATATATTTTGTTAGTTCTATATAACATAAATTATATATTATATAGTTAAATAGTATTATGTAATTTAACATATTATTTAAACTATTTACGGTCTCAATCAACCTTACCTTAGTTGATAATATATGTTAAATAGTTAAATGCGTGAGGTTGAATTTGTCTTTTTCTTTCTTTCTTTCCTAAATTTATATTTTAAGTTTAATATTTTTTTTCTTTCGAAACTCATATTTTAAGTTTAATATTTTTTTTCTTTCTAAATTCATATTTTAAGTTTAATATTTTTGTCAAACCTCTTTCAGATTTTGAACAGAACTTAATGCTTAAACATATAAGTTGATTATTGAATAAATCTAAAATATACTTCAAATTACAAGCATGTAATTATTTTAATGTAGCGCGTTAACTTTGTTTTTATAAAATACAAAAATTCATAAAAACTTAAGGATTGGAATGAAGGAAGAAAATCATTATTTTCTGACGTGTGAAATAATCATGCCTGGAAATTAGGGATTGACTTTGGAGGAGTTTATACATGAAGCATTGACTTTGCAAGTGTTTGTAATTAATGAATTAAACCAACGGGTGGATGTCGGGTTGTAAATGCAGAGAATTAGAAGCGTTGATTCTCTGCATTATTAGTAGGTATAGCAAAGGAGCATGACTCTGCAGGTAGCTTCCTCGGGACTTCTACCCTTTGGTCAATGAATTCTAATGCAATTACAGCATGATCGTTAAGCTACAAAATTCAAGGTTGACTAGCACCAAGTTTTCACCAAGAGAATCATTCTTTTTCCATTTATTATATTTTCACTTATCATTTGTTGAGAAAATCAATTTAGAGCTATAAATGAAACATTTGGGCTGGAAAGGAGACGTTAATTCAGCCGACAACACAGGCTAAAGTCCATGAATAGGCGGGGCCGGTAGTGGTAGTTTAGGCTAGGCCTCACCCAAGCCCATTCGGTTCCACAGAAATGGGGGATTTTGACAATTTGGCGTTTGCTATGAATTGTGTTCATCCGAGTCGGTGAAAATATGCCAATATTCACACCGATTTCATATCATCTATGGAAAATTGGATTCCATGGAGCAATGAGGGAGGTGGATGGCAGTTTCCTGTAGAGAATAAATGGAGTTGGCTGGTAAGTGTGTTGGGAGAGCATATGCTGCCATTTCAGACATTTAATCTGCAATCTGTTTGCTTGTTTTTGGAAGGCACATAGAGGCAGTTTTTCAAATAAATATTATGGTTGAAAATTTGGCCCATGATTGGTTTTGTTAACTAATTGTCAGTTTATTAACTTTGAATAAAATTTCACCTATGCGGTTAAATAAATGCGATCGGTTTTGTTATTTTTTTTTAATAAAATCGGTAAAAAAATTACTTAAAACATTATTATTTCTACCTAAAATATTATTTTTTTAACATTTCCGGTAAAGTGGTCAATAATAAAAAAACCGGTAGAAAAAATAACAAAACCGGTAATGCTTTACCAGATATGTTAACAAAACATGTAAAGCGTCCAATAATAACAAAACCGATAGAAATAATAATGTTTCCGATAATTTTTTACAGGTTTTGTTTAAAAAAACATTAACAAAATCGATAGCGTCTTTCATTAACAGTATATTAAGACTGACGCACGTGAGACTTTCCTACCATTCATTGATTACACGCACTGCTTTTATATCATGAAAATTCTAAATTAATTTTCTATCTAATTAAATTTTTATTTCTTTATTTATTTAATTAACCAACATTAATTATTAAATCTAATAATTTTATATTTTATCACATTACATTGTTACCAAGTGACATTTTAAAAATAAAATTAAAAAGTTTTGAAAAATAAAATTATTTAGAATTTCAGTAAATTTTAATTTTTTTAAATATGTAATTTTCACATGGCATGACTATAATATACCGTGTGACAATAACATTTCATAAAAAAATATTAAAATTTAATGATAAAAAAATATTAAACGACTTAATTAATATAATTTTTTATTTGAATCTTGAAGATCTAATTGAATGCAAAAAAAAATCCAAGATTTAACTGCTTTTATTCTTTAAATTTTTGAGGGTTTATGCACTATTAAAATTTAATTATAAAAACAATATTTTATCGTAAAATTATTTGAAATCATATAATCTCGTTCATAAATTAAAAGATGCTGAACATTTAAATATATTTTATTTTACATACTATGTATATTACATGGATGATAATATCAACCAAATCAAATTTAATCAATTAATATTTTATATTAAAATTTATGAAAAAGAGAACGTTTATATCCATTTATCAACAGTAACCGCATTCAAATTTTCGTATTTTCATTTCTTTTGCGATTAGCATTAAGTAGGTGGAATATTCAAATTCAAATAGTTATGAAATATTGACCCCATTTTTATTTTACGGATTAGGTTTTTTTTAATTGATGGCGAATAGCGACATGCACTAGTTAATTACAGTATCGATTGATGCACAAGAAAGGCAGCCAACCACCACTTTAGCTACATATAATTATATCGGTGGCTATATTCAGTCACTTTCTACCTAATTGAATGTGCAAACCGACGTCATTAATGGCATGGAGAGGTGTTTTGAAATGGACATATAAATTAATAGAATGTTTAGTAATAGAATGTATTATATCTTATTAATCGTAAAATAAATATATAATAATTTAAAAATAATTATAACATAAAAATATATATGAAAATAACTTTAATTGAGTATCACAATCAGAAAGAATTATTATTAGATTATGAATCGAAATAAAATATACGCAGTTGAATAAGAAAATAAAAAATATATAAAACCCAGGAATAAACAGAATATGCCCCGAAGCTTCACTGTTTTTTAAATAGCAAATAAAGTAGGAAAAGAAAGGAATCTGAAATTTCTTTGAGGATTTAATTTAATTAATTTATTAAATACTACTAATACAAACTTTTAACCTCTACGAAAGTGGAGATTCAGTGTGGGAGGCCACGAACACTCGAGCAAAAAGGTCGCCTCTAATTGGCTACCATACGGGAAGGGCACTCCAATATTGACCTGTTTATGTGGGTCCCTCGTAGCCTTCGATCACGTGGACATATTCTATTGGTTAAAGGGAATCTAGGGTTCTTCTAACGATAAAAACCTCACATGGAAACGGATGGAGTTTTTTTTTAAGCTATTGAATCGCTCTTATAAAATCAAATCTCTCCCTCGCTCTCTGTTTCTTTAGCTGTCAAAGAAAAAATTACTCTACTTTTTTTGGGGGTATTTTTCAAGAGTAAAACAATAAGTACTGAGAGGAAGCACAGAAACCCCATAAATCTGGTAAGCACACACCTTAATTATTCATTTCCCTTTGATTAATTTATTTATTTATGTTTGCTTGCTGGTAAAATATAGTGAAAGTAATATTTATTAGGTGTGGGTATTTGGGTATTTTCTCTCGAACAACTGATTTATTGGAGTTTTTGGTCTCTAACGTTTTAAGAAACAAGCGAAGGCTTTAGATGAGACTAAGAACTATGGGCAATTGAAGGAAAAACGTTTCTTTTTTTATTGTTTCGATGAACAGATTGGTAGTGTCTAATTATTAGTTTGTTAATTCTCCTTTGTAGATGATGTTTGGGTAAATTTCATTGCTTCGAGGTCCAGTGTTGAAGGAAGGGAATAAAGTTGTCGTTTTTATCATAGACTATTTTGATATTTCTTCAACTGCTTGAAGAATTATTCTCTTTGGCCTTGAATTTCAATGGGGAGAGGAGGGCAGGATTATGGAAAGACAGAAAATGCCAGTGCTGCCTTTTCCAAACAAGAAGATTTTCCTGCTTGGGCAAGAGATGTGAAACAATGTGAAGAGAGGTACGAAGTGAATCCGGAATTGGGATTATCAAGTGCTGAAGCTGAAAAAAAGAGGCAGATTTATGGATGGAATGAGTTAGAGAAGCATGAGGGCACATCAATATA